TCTCACATCTGGCCGGACATTGCGGACAACAGCGGTGAGGATGTTTTGTGACAATGGGGGAGGGGGGCGGTCTCAGCTCCAAGGTAGCGGGGGTAGTAGTGGAAATGGGGAGGAAGGGAGGAAGGGCGGAGGGGGCTGCAGCCCTTCTTCAATCTCCCTTGATCGCTGGTCCACGCCTTGAAGATAAGCAACCAACAGCACCAGGCGAGCCGAGGCAAGCGCTTCACCCAAAACTTTTCGTCCCCCTTTCTTCCCCTGCCCCTATTCCCGTCCCCCCGGCCTGACTCTAGTCGTGCGTTTCTTGCCCCCCCCCCCTTTTCCCTCCTTCCCCCCTTCTCTCCTTCCACGCGTATTTCGGGGGCCTCCGCGGCTGCCACCTCCAGAACCGAAACCGTCCCGAACAGAAACGAGATGCGCAAGCGCGAAGAACGGCGGCAGCGGGCGTCGCCTGCACATATATGATTTTTTTGGTAAAGGGGGGGGGGGTACTTTTTCCGCACCCCTTCTTTTAAATGTTGTGGGTTGTGTTGTGGGTTGGAGAATTTTAGGGACGCTAACTAAGTGACCCCTACCTTACATGAAAAATTGCCACCTTCAGTGAGAACTCAAGTAAAGTGCTGTTTGATAAATAACAGCTGCACTGCAATTACGAACACTTAAAAGTGTTTTCCGTCAGGGGAAGGGGGAGGGAGGGATGAAGGTAGATTGAGGGTCTAGTATCAAGCACACGATGATGGGGGTAGGGGGTAGAAAGGGGACGGGGGCACACGTGATGAGGAATAAAAAGGACCGAGTTCGGAAGTTTTGTCAGTCACACCCCGAGGTCTCGCCCGAGTCTGTGGCGGCGGGAGAGGAGTGGTGGGGTTGCTGCAGGGCAGGGAGATGGGGGTTGGTGGGGGGGGAGGGTGATTGAAGCGGAGGTGGAAGTGTGATGGAGTTGGGATGGGGCAAGGGAGGGCGCGGGAGGGGGGGGGGGCGTTGTACCCGCGTTACAGCGCGTGGCCAAGTGCTATGTTGTGTCATATGTCGTGTTCGGGGTGGAGGGCGCGAGAAGGGCGGGCCAGCGGGCTGTGCGGCGGTCGTGGTGCGGCGAGCCGCAGGCTGAGGTGAGAGGCCGACGTTATAGTTGGGTGCGGGGGCGTTACTTCACGCTGAATCATTATGAACTTTTTAATACGCACTGTACGTATTTCTGTAAACAGAGCAGTGTACATACCTGCGTAAAATGGCACGCTATAGCTTGCTAAAATGTTGGCAGTCCTATTTTGATTTCTAAATTTTGGCCGTCTCTTGGAGGCTGCCAATTGTTTGGCCTCTTTGGCCTGCCAAAAGGTTGGCCTTCTTTCAAAAGAACATGCTCGTTCGCATCAGTTTATTGTGTTCACAATACAGGATGCGGCCCACTAACTGCTCTTTATTGGCTGAGCAATTAGCGAAGCCCATTACTCCACTGACCGGAAAAGTTTCATTCTGTTTGTCTGTTTGTTTGT